AAAGATTATAGGCATGGGAACATCCACATCAGCATAGGAGAAATTACCCTTTCACTCTGAAATACAAAGGACTGAGAAATTTCTCAAGCTAGACACAGCTCTCAAATATTGAGAATGATTCTCCTTAACCTTCCTGCCCCCAAGGGTACTACCTACATACTATACTGGTAACTGGTAACCAATGCTGGTAACCCCTTTACCAGCTAACTGTAAGCACATAGAGAGTCACTTAGCTTTTCTGAGTTTCATTTTCCTTGTCTGTTCAACAGGAGTATTAATTAGATAATCTTGAAGCTCCCTTACAACGCTAATACTCTTTTATTCTATAATTCTAAAGCCAATGACTGCTTCCTATTCCCAGGACCTAAACTGCTGCCAAACTGATGCTGATGATGCAGAAAAGGGATGAGCAGCCAGTAGGAAAAGAGCATTCCAGAGTCTCATTTGCTAGCTCTTAACAGTCCCTCTCCAAAACAGCTTTCCCCTTGGCAGAGGGTGGGCCAGACCAGCAGTCATTAGAGAATTAAGGGGGACAAGCAGAAGGGGATCGCAGCAGAGCAGCAGATGGAAAAGATGACTAATTAGAGGACTTTGGGACCTAATCCCACATCCCAGTCCCACCCATCCCCACTCTCATTCCCCTCCCCCTCCATTAACCTCTCCTCCTTTAAGCCTGCTTGGATGATCTCTAACGTTTCTTCTAGTTCCAAAGATAATGCTCTTTACCCACTAAGACCCTTTAACTGGGATAGATGGATCCTTCCCCTCTGAAGCTAATTCTTTTTTAAAACACCCTACTCTGTCCTTCACACTACATGACTAACCTCATGCTCACCTGGTCCCTCTTCTGACAGAAGGTCGGCTCCTTCCCCTTATCTCTCATCCACTCCTTCTCTAGCCAACCCAGACTCTACTCTTTTCTCTCTCTCTCTTCCTCCGATCCAGATCCCCACATCCCTCAACTATACCACCCCTCCACTTTGAAAGAGTCACAGGGCTCTCTGACATCTTGAATCGAGATTTCAAGATGTCAGAGAGTCCTATGGAGGCAGAATGGTTTGGAGTTATCAGGCAAGGCAGACAGCCAAAGATGCTCAAAACTACTCTGCAAGAAAATCATAACTACCCAAGCACTCACCAAATGTTTAAGAGGCAAGCAGAGTTCTTCTCCCAAAAAGTATAAACTCTAAAAAAAATAAGAGAAAAACAGTAGGCCAGCATCCGCCAATCCTGAGGGATCTCCCTAGAGGATATTTCCTCTTGGCCTCTCCATCATTGACTGCCATTTATATAGGGCTTTAGTGATGGCAAAGTACTTTCCACGACCTTGTTCTTGAGCTCCTGGGTAACAGGCATTAACTACACCACCACAGAGGGCTAAGGAACTCTATTATAGAGAGGGGAAAGATTACCCAAACATTAAGGATTAGCACCAAAAGGCACAGCTATCCCCACAGAAAGAGAACTCTCTAGGATTTGAAAGCTGTACACTTAAATCCTTCATCTAGGGACAAAATATTAGCTTCGTGGGATCAAAGACACTTTAAAAATCAGATTGCCTCATACCTTAGTCAACACTAGCATTTCTTGGGTAGGTCAGTTAACCTCCCTTGAGCTTCAGTTGTCCAGATAGTCTCTAAGAATTCTTATATCACGAAAATTATATTATTCTAGGATTCTAAAATCTTGAAATTTATTCCCAAAACCTAAGTTTCAGAAAAATTGACCCAGAAGGACCCTTTCTGGAAAGGGGCCTCATTCAGAGACCCTAAATCACAAAGAACAGCAAACACCGGGGATTTGGGCCACCTGAACCAAAAGCAGGTACACACACTTGGCCTCTCTTTACCCAACCTGCACCTGGCCTCAGAGGCGAGGGCGGCACTTGTCACAGGTGCACTGGTCTTTAGGAGGTCTGTGGATCAGAACATTCATCCTGGAATGTCTCTAACTAAAACTTGTGGCTATCAAGATATTCTGAAAGATTGAGAAGAAAAACATGGGGAGGAAGGGCTGGGGCCAAAGGAGTGAAACAGGGAGGGTTAAGGAAGAAAACTGAGTGGCTTTGTAGGGCTTATTGGTTGGAGAGGAATCCGAGGTGAAAACACGTTTTTCGAGAGTAATTTTTTGGACAGGGGATCGAGGGAGTATTGGTTCCCAAGTCCTAAGTGTTTGCTGGAAGATGCCTTTCCAGGGAGATTGCCTGGGGCCACAAATTGTTGCTGGACAGATAACTAGGGGCTGGGGCAGAGAAACTGGGGATGTCAGTGTTTAGGAGAATAGTGAGCAGTGAGGATTCCTGTTACCCCCCCCACTGGGGTGACGTTCCCAGGACATATATTCACAGGGAGACCCCAGGGATTATGGGGATCCCCAGTTGCCAAAGGGTGGAGGGCGGAGCCGGAGGACTTCGGGCTAGTGGGCACGCCCTAGCCCAGGCCTGCAGTGGCTGCTCTCGCCAGCTGGCCCACCGCCCTGCCCGACTCCCCTCCCTCCACCCCAAGCCTAAGAGGGGTGCGCGCGGGGTCCCACTGCTGAGCCAGCTCCCTCCCTCTGATCCACACCCCAGCTGGGTAGGCTGAGCTCCCGGGGGGAGAGGGTGGAAGGCACCACCAAGGCACGGAGGGGGTGTGGGAGGCGGGGGGGTGGGGAATGCGGCAGTCTGGCCCCCCCACGACCAGCCCAGCCCCCCGTCAACCCCCCTCCACCTCCAACCAAATGGTTTGCTCCGAGCGCCCTATTTAATCCCCGCGACTGCAGCAGCGCCGGCTCCCTCCCGGTCCCCACCTCGGCCCCGGGCTCCTAAGCGGCTCCGGGGCGCCCTTTCGGTCAACGTTGTAGTTTGCCCCCTCCCCAGCCCCAGGCCCCGGGAGGCAGGCTCTCTAGCGCCCAGCCCGGGAGCCGGCCGGGAAGCGCGATGGGGGCTCCCGCTGCCCTGCTCCTGCTCCTGCTGTGCGCCGGCCGCTGGGCGCCCGGAGGGGCCAACCTCTCCCAGGACGGTGAGTGAGGGAGGGGGCGGCGCCAGGGGAGGTGGGGAGTGACCCGAGGCGGGGGTTTGGACTGGGAGGCGGGCGGAGGGAGCCTGTTGGCTTTGTTTGGAATCCGGGGTTAAAGTCGTCAGCCGCTGCTAATACCCTTGTGTCTGTCTCTGAGCATCCAAGTCTCCGTGGACCACGGGGTGTGCCGGCGTGTGCACCCTCCTGCGTACACCTCCGAGTGTGTGTGTGTCTGCGTGTGCACCGGGGTCTGGATCTCGGGGTGGATTTCTGCTACGATCAGCCCCGGGTCTGGATGTGTTGCTGTCCGTGCGCGCGCGCGTCTGTGTTGGTGTCTGGCTCTGCGTTTCTGTGTCAGATTCTGTGTGTATGTCTGTGTCAGTGTGTGCTGGGGGCGGAGTGAGATTCGTGGATGTTTCAGCCAGGGCGTGTGTCGGGTGTTTGTGTATGTATGTCTGTAAGGCTTGGGTACCCAGTGCAACCCCCAAACTGCCGTCTGCAAACATCTCTATCCCCCGCCCGCCCCCCATCCGCGGCTCAGATCCGAGTGGGCAAAGAAGGGGGCCTAGGTGAGGCCATTGAGGGGGGCGTGGGCAAAGAAGGGGGGAGCTTATCCTTGGACCAAAACAACAACAACAGGGCGGAGGGTGCCCAGGATGGCAATATCCCTAGCGGTGGAAGAAGCTGGGAAAAGAAACCCAGACAGCAGCGGAGGGGGGTGGGAGGGAGGTTGAGCAAAAGAAAGCATCAAGAAATTTGGGGAGGAGAATGCATTGAATAGCCAGAGCCTTCCTGAGCTAAGCATTGATTTCCCCCCAATTTGGGGTGGGATAGTACACTTATTCCCTTTGCCCCAGTCTGGAACTCAAGCTTTCTTTGGTTAGAAATGGTAGAGAAGAAGGCAGGGGGGAGGCGGGGCCAGGGGTGAGGGTACTTGGGGAAGAGCCCCTCCCACCCTGGGCTGGGCTATGTAGGTCAGCGCTGTGGGGGCACCTCAGCCTTCTTAAGGGCTGCTGAGGGTTAATGGGGTGGCATGAGGGCAGTTTGTAGGGTGACGAGGAAGGAAGCTCAGAGCCTCAGGTCAGCGGAGGAGGGAGGGCAGGCAGTGAAGGGACTAAAGGAATGCGTCCTCCTCACTCCTGTGCCCGTCAGAGGAGGGCTGGGGTGGAGGAGGGGGAAGGGGAACAGGACCTCTGCGGAGCACAGGGAAGTGAGGAGAGTGAGGGGGAGGGTGGTGGCTATGCCCGGCCAGATGCCAAGGAAAAACAGAAAGAACCGCAGGGGAGGAGAAAGGGGAGGTGGCTCTTGGGCGATGGACCCAGCGGCCAGCAGGGATGGGCACAGGGCGGGGCGGGGGTGGAGAGGGGAGGGGTTGAAACTAGGAAGGATGATGTAGAGAATTTCATCAGAGGAAAACAGGCGAAGAGCCAGGGTGCTGGAGGAATAAATAAGTGCTCCATCTCGCCTGACCTCCTCCCCCAGACCTGTCTCCATCAGGATAAAGGAATTCCCCTGGTGGGGGTACCCTGGGGATCCCCTCCCTGCAGTTGGCTGGCTCCTTCCACCTTCTACCCTCAAACTCCCCACAGGGAGTTCCTGCCCTAGTCACCACAGAGCCTGCAGCCCCTCCTCTCCCCTACATGGAGTCCCCTTCCCCAGAGGATCACAATGATGACCCTACTCACTGAGGAGCTGGGAGTCCTGAGGGAAAGCAGGCTGAGCAGCAAGGCAGAGGGAAGCTGGTGGGTGCCTGTGCCTCAGTAATGACCCTCCCACTAGGCTGACTTCCAGCTGCAGCCCCTGGCCTTCCCATCCTGCTAGATGAGTTTTATAAAGAGAGGCAAGACTGACCCAAACAGCAACTGTTGGGCACTGAGAACTGAGGGTGAGAGGCTGGGACTTAAAAAGAGAAGGAGATCATCCCAGGAAGCTGTGAGCCCTTCTAATCTAGGATGTAAACACTAGAGACTCCAGTAAATCCGGATACTAGCCAAATCTTTCTTCATCAACTCTTCTTTCCTGTTCCTCAACTTGGGGGCCCAGCCCCTATTCAGGCTTAAAGTTGAGAGGCAGAAAAATGCTCTACCATATTTAGAAACATATCTCAGAGCAGTGGCTTAAGAAAACGAGTAGAAGGCGGTACCTCCAGAATGGGTAATTTCCAGAGGAGAGGCGGGGAAATGGGAGATGGTGAGGAGTCAAGTCAAGCTTCGTTTTTTTTTTTTAGAAGATGATCTCTACAGTGGACATCTGTCTGTTGTGCAGTGTGATGCATGAGACATCACCACAATATCTTCTATCTTGAATTAATTCTACCCCTCTGTTTCTGGATCTAAGAAGACCAGTGCTGATGGGGTGGGAGGTAGATGTACAGATTTAATGCTAATGGATGGTAATCCTGAAGGCTTTTCTAACTAGGATCATACGAAAGTTGATCTAGGCCTGCTGAGGCCTCTGAGCAGAAAATCAGGCAGTGTATATCTCAAGTGGTAATGTTTGACCAAAACAAGGAGAGATGTGGTGTGAAGGCTTAAGGACAAGATACCTGAATACACTGATGCTTGAATGGTCAAGGGTATTGTGACAGGTTGGCTATTTCCATTTAAAATAAGAAAAACAAACTTCATGTGCTGCTGACATATACAGTGTCATAGAGTACAGAACAAATTTTTAAGCTTCTAAAGGCTGACCAAGGACTGAGAGGCTGGAAAAGGGCAAGCAACCAATGCCCGGAACTTGCCATTAGTGTTGTGGCTAGAAGCTCAGGAACCGTTAAGACGTTCGGAATTTGCCACCTGCCCATCCTCTCACACTTCTCTACTAGTATTGGCAGAAATTAGCAATTTATGGGACACAAGGCCTATGAACTTAATGTACCCTACGGTCATGTCTCTGAGAGAAGCTTGACATTCATCACTGTGACCAAGCTTCTTTGGATTTCTCTTTCCCAAGTTACTTCCAGCACTCTGTGAGTTAACCTAGTGCAGAGGAAGATGGATGGATAGCCTTGCTTTGCATCAGGCCAGATGATAGCAATTAAACCTTCCTCTGCACTTCCCCACACATGAATATCTTTTCCTTCCCCATAACCTTCTATCCACTACCATCCGTGCTGCAGCCCCCAGCCAGGTGCCCAGGGCAGACATCATTCTCATGTGACAGAGAAGTCCTATAGGCATTTGCTCTAGGGCTGCCCATGGATCTGTTTTCCAGATCGGCTCTATCCAGATTCTGTTCCTAATTGCAGCTCTAACTGTGCTGTTCTCTTCCATGTCCCTTCCTGATCTCTTCCTAGTTAGAGCTGTAACTCTTGAGCAGAATATGTTTTCCCTTTAGACAAGTGCATATTACGGCACAGAAGCTGAGGAAACTCAGTGGCACAGTAACACTGGAAAAATAGAATTCAATTAATTTCATGAAGAACCAATCTGTATGATGTAAGGCCCAATCTACGGAATGTCAACTTCCTACCCAGAAGTTATGCCAAACATTCCATCCTAAGTTCTCCCTAGGTCTGGACGACTCTGTAGGTTTTAGAAGTTTTAGTAGTTTCCTTTGGGGCAATGGCTTTCTCACTTAAAGAACAAAAACATGTGAAACTCCTTTGCCAAACAGATTCCAGGAAAAATGCTCTTATTGAAACAGAGAAGTAAAACAGATGAAAGAAGAAATGCTCTTATTGAAATAGAGAAGTAAAACCCACAGCCCTTTCCCCTATCTTAGCGGTTTCCTCATTCTCCTACAATCCTTAAGGCACTATCTGGGGTTCTGCTGCACAGTTCAAAATCCTCTGCCCTAGACTGATAGTAGAATGAGCCAGCTGGCTACCCTTAGGCTCTCTCTCCTTCTTCTTCCTTGGAAGAAGAAGAAAGGAGGTCCAAATCTAATTTCAAGAGTGCCTTGTTTGAGATATTCATTATTCACTTGGAGAGAGTGACTCATAGTTCTGCAGCCATAAAATTTCACAGACGGCATCTTTTTGGTATTCTGGTTACTTTGAATAGCAGACCAGGTAGTTGTGCCATTGCTCTGTAAATACTCAGGTTTGATTGTGGTCCTCCCTGCTGCTACTTCTCTCTTGCAGGCCAAATGAACTGCAAGATGGAATCAAAAGCTGCTTTTCCTTAATTACATAGAAAGAAAAAAATCTTCACACATATCACCAGAGAAATAAAACCCCTGGGGCTGTGGCTAGTCACATCCGTGTTGTTTCCTACTCCAGTGGAACTGTATACTGGCTCGACATTTTTTGTTGTCTAATTCTCATAATGGAATTCACCTAAGGATGGTGCTCTAGGTTCTAGATTCTCCTTGAAAGCAAGTTGTGGACTGGACCAGCTCCTTACTGACCACCGAATGAAAAAAAAAAAAAATCAAGGTTATTAGAAAGCTTGGGTAATTATATCTTTTCTTTTAATTTTCATGTCAGAACTTAGTGTTTCATGTTTAGCTATTGGCTATAGGCCCATATACTGGAACATTTTGTTTCCTGTACGAGGTCATGTCCTCGAGCTCCACCCATAAGCCCTGAAAATAGCAATCCCCATGAGAATGTTTATGAGAAATAGAGAGAAGAATGCCATCAGAAAAAAGTCTGAGAAGCTAAACATCAGAAAAAGATTCAGGTCTCTAAGAGCTTGGCCAAATTAAGTACAAACACCCTATGTCATTGTAAAATAAAGAACAGGTCTCTGGGTAAAAGGTCTGTTTCTTCCTCTAAGGTTAGCAGTGGTGATTATTTTTCACAAGGTCAGAGCCAGCTGATGCTCAGGGCTTCTATAACTACCAAAGTGCAAACCACTCCAATCCTGCTATGTATGATAAGGAGATCCATGCCCTCTAGTACTGAGAAGCTCAGATCTCAAGAGTCTTGAACACATGAAGTTGTTGAAATTTTTACAAAATAGAGGCTCAGCAAAGGTACACGTTCTTCACTGAAGCAGTGACAATAGTGAAGAGAGAATCATTTCCCCCTTTACTAAAATTTCCCTAAGCCTTAGGAG